TCTATAGTCGGCGGGGAGTATCACAGCTCAAGCCTCTAGCAGCCTGATACACTTCGCCGCTGAAAGGCCCTGGATCAGGCTGCCGCATTTGCATTCACTGTTGTCTCACATTCAAACCACGTTACGGTGTAAATCTTCCACGAGATTGCATTGTATGCCGTTGTGTTATATTCTGTTACAGAGTGTCTCATTACACTGTGCTGGGTTGTATTTTCCACTTTACCGAGTTTACTGAACTCTCAATGTGTACTTCATGTACACCTACAGAGATGATAGAGGTTGTTACTGTCGTTGTGCTGGTGGACCAAGGGCTTGTGCTTAAGTGCGTCTCAGTCTACCCGGCCACCTTTCGTGCGTCACAAATGTTCAGCTGTTTACATTTGAAAATCATCGAGATGGGTATGGTCGTTGCTTTATAATCGCACCCCCTGTTTACTCCCCGGGCTTACGCCGTCGTGTTTATTTCGGGCAGGGGAAGTTCAGGTGGTTGCATAGGCAGCCAAGCACAAAACGCATATACCATAGTCTACTGTGCGCTGGGGGCCACCGGCGTCGTTGGATGTGACAGGCGAATATAGACGCTAGGCAGCAATTCACTGCTTATAGTATAACATTACCTAATTCTGGGCACATGGGCAATTTCAGCTTCTTGTCCACCATGGAAGGAGCTCACTAACTGCGCTGATAGACAATAACTAATAATCCATCAGACTGAGGTGTGGCAAATCACTTGTCAAGTCCAATTGCATGGGCTTGACCGGGAGAATATATCTCCGTTATTTCAGTTAGTAGAACAGCCCTCTGATATACGGTCGTTTGGTGTATCGAGTCCGCCAGAAGGCTTGTCTTTTGCCCAAACTATATGTAGTCATCATCTTAGAGTGAACAGAATCTTTGTCACCAATGCGTCATCATTTGTTTTGGATACACTTGATAAGTCGATATTTTGACGAAAATATGTATATAGCTTCAAGAATTTCCTAACACGTTACTCTTTGCTTTCATTGCTGCGCAGCCTTCTTGATCCTCGAAAAGTTCGGTGTCACTTGGATACAGACCTTCTTTGTTACCCCTGGGAGTACCTACGTTAGGGGGCCGTCTATCTCTCGTAATGAAAATACATTTTGGGTTGAGACACTGGGAACAGTCTCGTTTACAGGGAAATCTATCAAGGATTAGCAGTGAACCAGGTTTATAATAATCCTAGATCACCATTGCCCGAAAAAAGCAAGCTTGTAGTCTCCTCATTCCGGTCTACTTTTGAGAGAGATTCCCCCGGAAGCAGGTCGCAATGAACAGTTTGTTTGGGGGCGGAGCATAGTATGCACCAGCAAGAACGAAACAGCCATATGAACAATGCATTCATTTCCATACAGTCTGTCAGTCTGCTACTGAAAGCAGCCTAAAGAGGTGGCTATGAACGCCCTAAAAATGGCTGACTACCGCATGTAAATCGATCAAACTACGGGAGAATAAGGACTGGAAAGAGGCTAGTCTATGTACGTACCATTCAGATAAACCTAAGAACAGTTCAGAAAATCATATTTAAACTTGATTAGGGCTCCGATTAACTCACTGTACTTCGAACATTCACTGGCCTGTTCCGTCCCGGTTCACTCTTCCTCAAGTTCTTCGCTTCCATACTGCTCTCTCATTCACTTTTTCGATTTTAGATTCCACTGTTTCGATTGTTAACTATTCCTTTTATTCCCAAGCACCAAGAAACAAAACTACTCTAGAAGTTTGCATATACTCTTAGTATCTGACCAGTATACCAGTTCTTACGTTATGCCCTCGCTGTTAAGTAACTTATCTGCTCATTCCACATACGTCACTTGCCACGAAAATCTATATTTCAAACACATCGATCGCACTTGCACGGAAATGTAAGTGATGAGTTGTGCTCAGTCACGCATACAAACCGGAGCCACCGAACTGAGAAATCCGAACTGAGAAACCCAGAAATCCGTTTTTTTAATTGCATATTGCCTTTTGGCCAATAAAATAAAAACGCAGTGGGAGACATGTGGTATTCATGTGTTGCACTAAATCCCTGGGGCATAATCCCTAAATATGCTGGTCTTCTGGTTACACACCTACTCGAAGTAAAAAAGATCTCTTATCGATTTTGTCGATTTAAACTTGCCTAAATATGCTTCTGGGTAAAAAACTACTCGAAGTAAAAAAGATCTCTTATCGATTTTGTCGATTTAAACTTGTAGGAAAATCTTTTGATTTGTCCACGAATAGATGGTATCTGAGAGACTGACGACTAATCTGAAAAGTAGCGTTTATGGAATCTGTGTCGTTCGATCAAGAGACAAACTTCATTCGGTTGAAGTTAGTCATAGAACAGATCAGAGCACAAAGTTCGAAATTCACGATCGTCATGCCTCCTGTATGCCGGTTTGACCCATACGGGTAATAACATCAGTCGGGGATCAGAGAACACGCACCGAACATGTTAAATGCAGGATTGTGATTCTGGATAGCCATCATAATAAAATATGAAGCACCTGTAACTATTTCAAGGTCACAGTCATACAAGCAGGATGCTCGAGGAATCTGGCCGCACACAGGTGTATCAGTAATCTGTAAGACAAATAGGTGATGTCGTAATGTCATCCACCCTGATCTTGTCGTTTCTCTACACGTGTTCGATATTGTACATGGTTCAATTGACCTGACCCTAGAAATGCAACAGTCCTCTCCCCCTGCAAATGCCGGAGGTCCATTAATTCGACGTTCGTTCCAGGAGAATCCTTAGCGAATGTTTTTCACTCCCTAGAATTTGACCGGTGTGTACACACCACCTCCAGAAAACAACCAATTTCGATCTCCTTACGGACTCGCACCTGTCTTCTTTACGACATCGTCTTGGGTTCCTAATAGCAGACGAATTATTTCGTCACAGGTGAATGGATTCAATTTTATTTACGGAGCCACCACATCATTAAACTGGTTCCTCCCAAAGAGCTCTACAAAGAACAGTTTAGGGTAGAGGTGCATCAAAATCTCAGTGAATTTAGATACAGGAACTTTCGTTCTGATGGATCGACGTTTTTAGAATTTTACAAAAAACTATTTTACCCCTAACTGATTAGTCCTTTTTATTCATTTTATTGAGTTTCATCTTTACTTTCAGTAAAATAAGGTACCACTTTTCACCGCGTCACTTGTGCCACGGTCAGAAGAACTTGCAAATTCCAGGCGTAACACACTACTCATAAACGAGAGTTTCAGCTGGATTCAGTTGGGTCTTTTGTCAAAACCCGATTTGGTCAAAGTGCGCGAACTCCTTCAGTTGCTAATCTTCGTGATGTACTACTCAGGTTGCTGAAAATCCGTCGACAGCCCACGACCGGTTTCTCCCATTCTGGGTCTCATCAGGTAGGCGCAGTCCCAGGTTGACGGAAACTCGGGGAATGCACTTACCTGATGATCCCCAAGCAGGGCGGAACTGGTCGTGGGCTGTCGACGGAGCTTCAGCAACCTTGTGAGTAGTACATCACAAAAATATACATGTATCGCGATATCTCGAATATCGTTGTGGCTGAAACATGAGGCGGCCAGGTCAGCACATTCAGTTGCATGAAAACATCACTAGCGGGAGATTCAGCTGGGTTCCAGGTGAGTCGCTCGAAAAACCAAGTTAGTTTGCAAATGAGTGCATATTCCTTCAATTGTCCTTTATCACTTATCCCCTTCTAAGACGTTCAAGCCACACGTAATTGTACGCCACTACCAGAGCAATTCAAAAACACCACGGTTAGAGTCTCGATTTATTTTGGAAAGAGACAGCTGGCGTTGAAACGTCTGGGATCAAACAGCGAGACAACGAACCGCTTTATATTTTCACACAGGTAGCTGTTGCAGCCGTAGGTTTCTCAACGCCCACGGCTCGTAAGTTTTTATGAATGTCATGCTTTATCAATCCTTGTATCGGTTGGCTGGTGTACCACCGTATGTTGGAATCCGAACGCTTGAAAACTCCGTTATTTGCGCTTTTCTAACTTTACCCCACAGCTTCCTGTCTTTTGAATTTATCCGCCGAAGGTATTGAGACTGCGACTGTAGGGTGTTGACAAGACACGTGATGTAGGTGGGTGTTGAGAACTGATTATTTACCATAGTTGTGGAGGAGTAAAGGCTTGCTTGTTGCTTGGATCGATTTCAAAGTAAGTCAAGTATTCTGGTATAAGCAACCCCCCATCACGATATCATGCGGAAATTCTAAACGCCATGTTATGGACCATGACCTCATTTAGGCAAATGGCGTTGCTTGGATCGATTTCAAAGTAAGCCAAGTATTCTGTTTTAGGCCATCCCCGCATCACAATATCCTGCAGAAATTCTAAACGCCATGCTATGGACCATGACCTCATTTAGGCAAATGGGCATACAGTCAGTGGGTATTGGACGCAAAGGAGAAAATGATCTACAGTGAAAGCACAAATTTATCAAAAACAAGCAGCAGTCAGAAGGACATGATAAGATGTAGTCGGTACAATAGACCATAACAAGTGCTTCGCTAGAAGGACACCCCCAGCACCGTTAGGTACACTTTGTCTAGGGGTAGTGTTCCTATGGATTTTCATTTGTCTTGGTGGAAAGTCTAAGGGTGTTTTTTATATGAATGACCTAATAGGAACTTTACTGTAGTGGGTTGACAACATTCAAGGATTCTGGATCAGTTCGACAAAGATCAGCATGTAACTGGTAAGCTACTGACTAAATCTACACTTTTCGAACCCATTTCTATCCTCCTGATTTTTTTCATTGTAAAAATGTGTCAACTACCAAGCAAGGTAACTGCACATCAGATCGTTGAACGATTGGGTTTGGTTCTTACTCAAAGGCGAATGCGATTGGTCTCCATGGAAGGTGAATAAACAAAACGGCTTTATGACCTCTCTTTGGGAATGGCATACCGTAAGGGTATCACGCCCGAAGTGGAAGGGCGAAACCGGTCGGGGGCTGTCGATGGATTTTCAGCAACCTTATGAGTAGTACATTACAAATATACATGTATCGCGATATTTCAAATATCGTACCGACTGAACCATGAGGCGGCCTGGTGCAGCACATTCAGTTGCCTGAGAACACCATAAATGAGAGATTCAGCTGGGTTCCAGGTGAGTCTCTCGAAAGAACCAAATTAGTTTGCAGATGAGTGTATATTCGCTAATTTCGTGCAATTTGGTTTCAAGTAGAACATAAGGTTGACGGAAACCCGGGGACTGCGCCTACCTGATGAGCCCGAAGTGGAAGGGCGAAACCGGTCGGGGGCTGTCGATGGATTTTCAGCAACCTTATGAGTAGTCTATTACAAATGTCTGTGAACTTACTTGAAAAATTTCCTTATTTCCCATCCAGCACCAGCTCCGGCAGTATAAATTGGTCTTGGGGTTTTGTTGATCATTGTGGCGTCTCCCTTAAAGAAGGCACTCACATCCAGGACTCCAGTAAGCGCTTCTGAACGTAGGCCATTCCAGGTTTATGATAACACTTTAGATCGTATATCAAACTTCAGTGAACACAAGCTCTCAAAAGTGGCAGGACAACGAAACAAACAACGTAGCAGGACGTTAAAAAATTTCATCCCAGTGACAACGCTCTTTTATCGTTTGTAGGGCGAGGAGATTTAGGAATTTCAATGGGGTTTATCATTTGGTTATGCCAAAAAGCCGAGAAGCACTGCATAGCTGGGTTTCATCGGCAATGTGCACGTTATGGATCACCATGGAGTTCGAACCTACAACCTCTCGGCCAGTGGTTTGATCTTTGGTTCTTTCGGCCACAAGCGGCTGATCGTCGGTGAGATCAGCTCATATTCAGATTCATCGTTGGTTCAGTGTTGCAGTAGGAACTACAGGAATGGAAACCTACCAGAGATCCCATCTTTACAATTAAAGCGACACCCCAGGGCTTACTCGGTTTAACCGAGAGAATTCGGTGGTGCTGTTTAATGAAATACACTGGATAAAAGACAATGAAGCGGTGCATTTCATCTTCCCTACTTTCAACATATCATATTCTTTCTTCCTCTGGGGGTGGTTCGAAGAAATAGTTATTATCGATGGTATGGAACGTCAGTCAGACATTTCATGGAAAACCGAGACGATGCCAATGTTAAAAACCCCGCAAAATCTGTCGCTCCTGATGTACTCTCAACTGAATATGTAGCGGAAAAAAACTGCCCCAGTTTTCTGTCAGTCAGACACTCCAGGTACTTTAATGTTCGTTTATCCTTGATTAGATAAACTACTGTATAATGTACATTACTTAAGTGAAGGGAAAGATGTCGACGGATTTTCAGCAATCTTATTGGTTCCCACCGTTGGTTCCCTAGACAGACATTCGCTTCCAAAACTCTTGTTGCAGATAAACAAAATTAACCTTTTCATAAAGGAAACTACTCACAAGGTTGCTGAAAACTCTTCTACAGCCCATGACCAGTTTCGCCCTTCTGTTTTGGGATCATCAGGTAGGTGCAGTCGCCGAGTTTCCGTCAACCTTATGATCTACGTGAGGCGGTCTGTGTGCAGCACTTTCAGTTGTAGAATGTCATAAACGAGAAATTCACTTGAGTCTCCCGTGAAAACCAAATTGATTTGCAAATGAGTGTAGTGTATTTATTTAACGTTGTTTTCCGATGAGTTGTGTAAAGTGTGTGTGTAAATCAGATGAGGGGTTATGAGTAGTACCAACGTTTGAATTTAGTTTGAGAACCTAAGTCCGTGGTTGGACAGCGATTGTATTCAAAAGTACTGGTTAACCCGACTTTATTTTCTTTTCGCTGCCAAACGTTTCGATGAATTTCCGGATGATCCAGAAGTACATCTGATTATATTAACCTTTTGATAGCAAGTGGACATCTTGCTTTTGTGCTCTTGTTTTTATCAAATCCGTCTGTGTACGACAACAATCGGGTTAGCACCCGAAGAGCTTCGTGTCACTCCAAAGACCAGTGACTTGCGGGGGGACGGCTGTTGGTCTCATCAAACAAGTTACACAGGCGTCTGATCGTTCCGTTTGCTAACTACTCAAAATTCGTCTCATCCACCGAATGTAATTTCCACCAGACACTTGCAAACCACATGAGAAACTAAACTTTTTTGTCAGGGCTAAAGATTGTCAACAATAATGATACTTGTACCAATAACTATGAAGATAATGAGTAAAACGACTGCTCGGAGTTCCTAGATTCGAGAAAAATGAAGATCTGAGCGAAGAAACAACTGAGTGAACTAGCTAATAAGTCAGGAATTTTTCCATTTCGTGTTGAATTTGTGTTTCAACATCAAGATTTGAGCATCGCACTTACAAAAGTTCGCAAGCAAGCTAATGACATGACTATAGAATGACGATCCGAGAAGGGCCGAACAGATATTTGTGACCTTTATCCTACTGTACATCATTCTAGGATGCCTTTTCATCACAGCGCAGTCTGAGCTCTTATTTCCACATTGTTCTTTGTTCTGTTTCCGAGTTCAGTCCATGAAGGAAACCTCAGTGAATGACAAGGGAATAGTTGATAAACATAGGTGACTTAGGTGTTTTTCACCTGATATGCTTAGCAAACGCACTGCGTAAATGTCGAGTAAACTCACCGAGGAAGTTTCCTGTGTATTTATGGGGCCAAACGGGGAACCAGCTGATTTCGATAAAGATGAAGAACAGGGTTAATTCGAAAGCTGCTACGTCACACGAGGCGTCCATATATTAAGTTGAGTTGCATTAAACACTAAGCATATTAATTCTTTCCTAGAGAGAAGTCCCTTAACCAGCGGCTTAAGTTAACCAGTTTCCTTGGTGTTCTTTGTAAGAAGCGGTCACTGTGCCATCCCGCAAAGAGTGTCTGAAGGGCTTAAGACGTATTGGACAGTTTACTCTTTTGCCTGACAAAACCCATCTCACTCTTTTGTTGGAGTGATGGCGTACCCCATCACAACTGGATACCGGTTTTCTCTGAACAGTTTTCTCTGAAGCCAGTGACTGAGATTGCTCAGCTGGTTGTTTTGTCCCTTCGGAGAAAGTAAGCGCTGAATTTTGGTAACTGATGCAGTGCTACCAGATCAAGGGACACGCAATTTCTCAGCCGACACTGCCTCTTCCACTTTGATTTCCAAATCCCAAACTACCGTCTTCGACAGCTTTGTCTGAACATCTTGCGGTACTTTCAACTCTCCTTCTTCAGCAGTGTGGATGTCCGTTTGATGGAGAATGTTGATTCACTGGAAACCTGTGCACAGTGGCAACCGGGTCTTTACCGTTGGTGCAGTGGAAACGCTTCCCAAGTGAGACAGTGAGATGGAAGCAAAACAGCCGGTGGGTGGTTGCCATGCGAACTGTTTTCCCACCGAGAAGAGGTCGTAATGACGCAACCGACCGATTAAGGTGTCACAACATCATTCGTTGTCTGGCTTCATCAACCCCGAGCAATACACCTCCCCAACACGTCTACACAGATGCACGAACGTCGGTCACCACAACCACCCCTGTCTACGCAGCAACCTGCTGAGTACCGCGTGAAAAAGACATCTCATGTGAGAACCAGACATTTGTGTTTGACGACCTACTATAGATCACCACAGTTGACAGTGCAAGAAATTGTCCAAGGGAGGTCTCCGATTACGAACAAAACAAACCACGGTAGCAACAATGTTGATTGCCATTCACCCTGTTTTGTGCTGGTCGCATTCTTAGACACTCATACCCGCGCAATCCATCCGAGTGGGCTGAACACCATGTTTTGGATGACTTTCCAGAGAAAACACGCGGTTTGCACATTTGTCGTGAAACTATGGCCATTTCCTGTCATAAATTTGTATGTTTGAGCTACGCTGTGTGGTCGAGGCTGGGGAATCACTGATCCTCAGAAGCATATCCCAAACAAATGCATCTTTCATGGTACGGAATGCCCTTTGTGACCCGCTTTCCTGATCGAATTATTCATACATCTTCAGCCAGTTCCGTATCAGAAAAGGACACTGTCCAATTTTGGGGCAGATTTGTTGCTATCAAATGGTTTCGATATGGTTGGCAAGTACATAAATAAGGAAGGGCCAGGAAGTATATAATTCCCTCTCTCGGTAAGGCTAACACAAGCTACACTGACTCAGTCCAAAAGCTTTCCCTGGAGAAGTTCACAGGTTGTTAGGTGATTGTCAGGATAACATCACCTTTGCATACCTGCACTCAAAATCGATGCCGGTTCAAGCCTGTTAGGAAGACGAATAAGGGGTCTCGGAATTCTGAGGTCGATAATCGAACCTGTTATCCGTCGTTTGTAAAGGGCGGGTCGGCAACTCCACAGTCACACTCACTGTCCAAAAGGACCTCCTGCGAGCAAACACTTTCTCGGGAACCATTTTCCCCGTATTCCATTACCCTACTGTGATGTGTCTACCGGTCTGAATCAGAATATAGAAGTCAAAGTAGGCAGTTTCAAGAATGTTGCTGAGTCTGATTCAATCGATATTATATTCTCCATTTTTGTTGGTAGCTTAACGCGGGTTCGGATGGACATGATACATTTTTTTCTATTTGAAATACCTTATCTTTGCATGACAGATGATCACAGTCAATATAGGTGCAATATTAGTCTCAAGAGGTAATTGTTTCATTCGCCTTTTTATCTGTCAGTTTGTAGTCTCTCGAGCTGTTATGCCAGTTTCTTGGTATCCATTAAAACTGAGTCTGCAGACACCGATTTTTTCGACCAGTGGACCAATCTATACCTAGTACTGACTGACTTTAGGACCTGGTTCAACCAGCGAGATTCTGCAAACAAATCTGACTTTTATCTGACTATATAGTATTTCCTCCTTATCGCCGTTTGTGACAGAATCATATTTTAAATAGAAACATACGGAGGAATGTAGCATGTAGTACATCATACACCACATATATTATGTACAACAGTATATATTATAGAATATGTAGTCAAAGTATATGATCATTCAGGCATAACACCCTTCCGGTACCTAGCTGCCATTCCACTGAAAGGAAGGGCTGAGATGTTATCAGGTTACCCAAGCCTAGACAGATACAGTGATTGGGTTCGAACCACGGATCTTCTAGTCAGTAGATTCAACCACTGAGCAATCTTGAGCTCTGTGTACCATATAACAAATGAGAAAGTGGACAGTTGACGTAGAATTAACTCGGTTGTCATATCCGACTAGAGATTGGACCGATCCCCTTGATATTGATGTTGCAACTTGAGGGAGCCCCTTGACAATGTCGAACCGGCTGTCTCTATTAAGGGAGCTACTTTAGTTCTCATGATTGAACCTATTTAGTTGATCACTTTTGTGAATTCAAACGGATGATGACTCTATTACTGGAATTCAAACATGGCTTTGTCAGTGTGTGGAACGTTGGAATGAAATCAGAAGCAACACAAACGCGTTGGATGCAACTGTCATTTACATATACTTCCCACGCACGGGCCTTTGTTCAGCTGACCAGTCAGGCATCAGATCAGATGGCTTAATGTAACCGTGTTATCGGCATGGATGAACCACTCACTATGGAATAAACTGCGTCAGTAAATGCTTATTGGGTGTTTATTCTTCAGCCATGTGACAGATCAAACAGTCAGGATCACATGACCGCGCGCAATATCCTAAGGTTTATCCCATTCGGTAACAAACAGTGCAACTTCAAATAACTTTCTGCTATTGTGTTCACAATACTCTTCAAGCAACTTCCCCAAGAGATCGGCTCTCAAATGAAGCCAACATTGGTTCGTCTCGGTAACGGTGTCTGAATGCACTTGTCAGTGTTTCTAGCTACACGTCTGAAATTTTGTGTACGGTCGATGGAAATTCTTAGAAATATTCGTTGGTCAACAGTCTGCGACCATGTAATAATGTGGGGCACCCCACAGTGTAGTTTGCATGAATTTTGCTGGGAACTGAAATGTTCTGGTTTCTTCATAGCCCACTACCACTTGGGGAGGGAAAGTCTGATGTTAGCACCAAGGACAACCCAAAAATGAACGTTTGCAACTGTCCCATGTACACGAGAAGATGCATCAGACTGTAAGTATACTTTCTGCCATTGTTGCGGAAACATCGTCATTCGAAGGTCACAACCCAGTAAAAATTTTCAGACAATGATCGTCGAAAATACGGACATTCCTCAACCAGGGGAGGGATTTAATCACGAGCTGTCAAGCTCAGTGATGCATCATCATATTCATCATATCATCAGCTATGGGAGAGTGTGCGTTCACTAAGAAATTTCTTTTTGAATCCCAGTGGTTCGGGAGAATTGGGTACATGAACACAGACTGATACTAGACCAATGTAGACATTTTTACACGAGAACGTGTCACCTTCAACCCGTTTTGTCTCCTCGAAGGATAGTTTCCAAATCTAGGATGATGGGCATTTAGGTGACCTCAGGTGTCTGGCTTGTGTCAGACATCTGGATGAAGTCATATCCCTAAGTAGGAAGGCACTGTAACTCTCGTACACCAATTTCCCACAACTTGTTCCATCAATTTGTCACCTTTTCAATTACTACTTCGTATCGGCACTGTATAGAGCCGTATATACTGGGCAGTGTATTCCGACCTGATGGTTTCAGACAGTGTTGAATTCATCTCATGCCATTAGCATACATTGCTTTTTGTCCATACCCAAAATGAAGGGTACCAAACATCCCCTTAACCAGAAAATAACTACTGTTAAGAAACCAAAGGTGATTGTTAATTACGTGACGTAATTGCTTGTTTCCCTATTCCTCAGGCTAATTCATTATCCTTCCGATGACTGCTCACGTTTCAAGAATGATCTATTCTGTTTTATACAAATTCGACTCTATGTGAACCGTTTTTCTATAGTCGATTTATTCACATTCATTTCCGGCTTTGTTGTTAAATATTTTGTCCCACTTTAAACTGTACAACTTTTTTCCCGATTAATTTGTCCGATAGCACACTGCCCTCTCTACCCTGTGTTGCTAAATGCCCAAGGTTCAATCTCACCGTAAGCTTCCCTTTAATTCTGCTCACTATTTACTGTTAATTTCTTATAGAACCATGGTCTACCTATCTATACCGTCTACCCACGCCTAATTCAATATATTGTTTGCTGCCCGATTGTGAGTACTGAACAAACGCAGGTGAAGTTCGTAGAATTCGGTTTCGCCGCAATTATTACCAACCGTCCGTCGGTGAATTAGACTACACGTTACTTGTCAGATAGGACACCTAGATCGTTCGTTTAGGCTGATTAACCAATTCCTCGCTTTGAGATCACAGCCTTAGCACAGGATAGTACAGTCATCCAGAACATTCTTACTGTCTCCCACTGCCCTGGTTCGAACAGGTGAACGTGGGGAATAGGATGGGGCAACTTTGGCCCATACTGATTTCCACGCTTGCATCTACCCTTCCTGGGACTGGGGGTGAGATGACTGAGTGGTTAGAGCGTGAATCCCCGGACTTTCCGTGGTTCGAGCCCTGACTCTGCCTCTCGACTTCCTCTGTCCAGGCTTGGGCAACCTGGCATTATCTCGGCTCTCATACTTCCCTCGAATGGTGTGGCAGTTAGGCACCAAAAGGGTGCTACGGCTAAACAAGACTGTCTGTGTACTAACATGAGTCAAAATGAAATTGACCATTGAACATGTATTTCGAGGAAGACATCCTTATAGATGTTACTGAGTATGTCACATCAGTGAGCGCGTTGGTTCTCCCAGATTGGTTGGCCTCCCAATTGCGGTAAGACATTTCGCGTGCTATCAAATGGTTGATTGTGTATTCGTTACACTAATGAACAGGTCGCCCGTGACTGCAATGCATATTTAACGTTTGCGTCATTTTATCCCATGTTCAGGATAGTTTGTACTAAAGCCTGATTTATATGTTCATAGTAAAGGACCGTGATTGTGTCTGTCTCCAGAGCACTTCAGTTCAGTTAGTTGCTGCTCCACAAAGGAATTTGAGCTTGATAAATCGTAGGTGTGAAACTTCCCGGTGTAGCTACACGAGGGTAGTTAAGGAATGTACCGGCCGTTCGCCATCCTTCGTGTTGTAGGATAAGCCGCCTTCCAGAAAAAGACATAAATGACCACTCAGATGTTCTACCCAGAGGGTATAAATGCAGCACAAATGAGACATGCATTCGCGCTTAGCCAGTGAGAATCAGAGAAAGGTTATGTCTCTCGTCACGAAACCAGAACGGTGTAGTTTTGAAGAGATAAGCATCCGTTGATGTATCACAAACGGGCATTGATCCGCGAGACTTGTTGTTAGTACACTGGAGTGTCCTTCAACCGTACCACACTCCAAAACCTTCCGCCTAAGCCTCTGGGTTTACAAAACGCTTCATTCACTCCCTCAGATTTATCCTATTCATTTCGAGGCTTGTAGACATCATTGGTCTTCTCCTCAAAGGCGTGTACAGACTCATCGTTCCTGTCTCAGCGTCATTGGTACCTGCCCCACCATTACCACTACGGCGAACGACAGTACAGTCGAATTCGGGGAATTATTCATGCGTACCCAAATATTTGCAAGAAAAACCTTCGAAGCCACAAATTACTGAATATGTTTACTTCTCAGTACAATCGTGTGTGTTCACAATGCGTGAGAGCTAATCATACCTTGGCAAACACAAGAACAAAGCCATAGGTAAATATGTGTCTGCGAACTGCCGGAAAACGGAACAATGAGTGCAGGCTTCAGGCAATCAATGCTACTTGTACGCACCTAGCTTGACCTAGCTTAATTACAACTGTGTTATCTACTCACGTGTGCCTCTGCGGCAGTCGAAACAAACATACGTAGATTGGTGTAATTAATCCGAGAATGCAGTTAATCTTCTACCGCAGATCAGCTAGGAGGCGTGTCCACATAATCAGAGAGGTTCATGTTCTAAGAAAGCTGAATACCGTATCGGCAATTCTATCTTATCACACCGTACATGCATGCTGAAAAAGGCACCAGACTGCGTGTGTTGTGTTGCGAAACCGATGGATCAGGTTTCAACTCAAACTAACCTATTACTTTATTTGCTCACGAATTTGGTTCCAACAGAACCCTCACCTGAATCCCAGTGGAATCACCCCTTCATGATCGTCCGTCTAAAATGAATGTTTTAAAGCAGGCCGTCTCAAGTTTCAGTTGGTACGACATTTAAGATGTCATCTGGAGATACAGAGTTACTGGGTACTCTTCGAAAGCCCACGACCGGTTTCGCCCATTTTGGGGCTCATCAAGTAGGCGCACTCCCCGAGTTTCCCTCAACCTTGTGCTCTACTTGAACATAAGTTGGACAGCGAATATGCACTCATTTGCAATTTAATTTGTTTTTTCGACAGACGCACCTGGAACCCAGCTGAATCTCTCGTTTATGATGTTTCCAGGCAACTGAATGTGCTACACCAGGCCGCCTCATGTGTCAGTCGCTACGATGTTCGAGATATCGTGATACATGTATTTATTTGCAATGCACTACTCACAAGGTTGCTGAAAATCCGTCGACAGTCCATGGCCGGTTTCTCCCTTGTTGAGGCTCATCAAGTAGGCGCAGTCCCAGGTTGACGGAAACCCGGAGACTGCGCCTACCTGATGAGCCCCGTTGTTCGGGGATTAAGGGGGTCATATTTGCGAGGTGAACTGAGTTTTACGTTGAATGATTCTCAATTCGGATGCGACAACTTTCTCTGAATGTAACTATTCCCTCGAGGAACAGTTTTGGTGGAGCAACTGCAGTAGTAAGCATCAGAGCTTTTTACAGAAACGCACATGGTAGTAAGAACGATTAACAAATCATAGTACAGTTAGGATCTTGGAGGCGTCCTCAGCTAGGGTATACAGCATGGCTTCAATCTGTCCATCTCAAACTTTGTAGTGCTCAACAAACGGCAGTCCGGATTTTGTACGGCTTTCGGCAAGACACGTCTGGATATTGGTCTGTTCTATGGACCATACGGGTATCATATGTGTAGTTTTCAAAAGCGGCGCTCACGTGACTGCTCACTCAAAACGCTGAATTAGTTAACATCGGTGGGGCGCTTAGATTTACAAGTCATGTATTGTAAACAACCGTCTGTTGCTGGGTCCATCACCCTCAGTTCTTCCCGTCCTGCTCAGGTTTTGGCGCCTTCAACTGTTGTCAACCGTGTTTAACTCAGTACACACGAAACAAATCACAAAACGAGCGGGTACATTCTACATTCTAGTTTACAACAATCAGCACAATAGGCTCTTCATAATGCCCGTTGAACTGAAGTACCCTGGAAACCATGATGAATGCTGTATGCCTTCATTTTTTCAAAGAACAGAGAACAGAAGAACCGCGCGCACACACACACAAAGCCACTAACGGTATCTGGATCTCTTTCTGAATGAGGAGCCATCTGTCACAAAGATATTCCAATTTTTGAGGAAAGAATGGGATATAATGAGTGGTTCGTCTTCAGCATCGACCAGTATTGGTCATCAACCAATCAGAATCGACCCACGTCTAAACCTGAGGTACGGACGACCGATGCGCCAATGTTGATTCATCTCCGGGAAATATTCTGCAAGGTTGTATCCGCAAGAGGTGTAAGTTTGTCGGAGTTCTACCAACTGACAACACTAAGGGTGATCAGATGACAACTCGTTACGCGACTCCTACATCTTTTGTGTAGAACACCATAGTTCAGCAGACCGTTTAGTCAAGCTCACAGTGAACAGGCAATGTATGCATTCATATGTAGTGCGGGAAGAAAGTACCCAATACGTCAATTTTTGCCTCCAGAACAAAAGTACAGATCTATTGGTTAGATGGTTTCTGAAGCCAGATGAGCGAATATGGTTAGATCTACAGAAAAGCTGAAACTCATGAGGAAACTGCTCTGCTTTGCAAACGATTTCAAGGCGGCTTTGTGTTGTGACATCACGGTGGAGGGATTGCACACCAAATTATGTTTGACGGTGAATACTGTCATGGACTGTCCATGAGTGCGAACTCTTTTCGGAGGGATCCAACTAAGGGGTTAGACATTAGCCTCATCGGTACTTCAGGGATGGGCATCACGATAACGAAACTGTGGCTGCCAACCATTCGTGAGACGTTTTGAAAGGTCTTGTGATTCAGTTGACTTGGATAAAACAAATGGCCAAGATACCACAGAATTGTAGCTGTTCACCTCAAAATATAATCATCATTTCGCCATAGAGACCATCCCCAGGAACATATGTCTTTTAGCTTTCTAAATCTGACTCTTTTTTACTCAGATTTTCCTGTGAAGGCGAACGTTTCGGGGCTCTTACGAGATGTGAACAAAACTAATTAGTTTCTAGCCTGCTGGGTTGAATTCACTCTCTAGACCACTAATCCCCCGGTTCTGTCACCCATCGTTTTATTCGGACGTCTTGGCGATGCCAGATGTTCAGTAACATTTCCTGGATTATCACGAGTTTTCTTGTCGACAAGTGGCCACTCTGGATGTGTTTATCTTCAGACAGGAGATAAGTGCCTCCGTTTCAGCTCGCGTTTGTTCATCCTCTGGAAATTCTATCTATGCAGTAGCCTAAGGAAATCGATAAACGAAGAAGATCGGCAAACTGAAGTTGCGAGGATGAGATCTGACCGGGCCTACATCCACAAATTCTACCCACCGAATTCAGTGGGACTCTTCGTGGAAAACGACAGCGTTCAGACCCGGTGGGATCTAGTGGGAAGCTCAGCTTTAACACCAAGCCATGGAAGATATTTTCCCATCCTCATGAAGATAGCATCGTCAAAGAATATTCAGGGCACCAAAAGAAGAAAGGTGGAATTACCGAAATGGCACTTGCTTGTCCATGTGAACATTCATGGTTTAATATTCATGTCCACTTGTTCTCAAGGGATCGCTTCAAGTATTGGAGGTATGACATCTCGCTTGCCTTTGTTTGCAGAGTGGTGCTCAGATTTTATTTGTGACTCCAATGGGCTTCTGGTCACAGTGGTTACATGTTCACACATCTAGTTCGCAATGCAACTTAAGGCTTGAAGTAACTGTAGTACGTAGGTGATCTTTCACAATGATCTTATAAGCCCAGATCCACCTGACGAGTTCGACTCCCAATCGTTGCGGACACGACGACAGCTTTCAACACCCGCTTTTGCAGCCAGGTTACGGTGAGCAGACGCTAAACACATGTGAATGGAATTCAAGTGGAGCCGTGCTCATGAGAGCAGTTCCCTTCCCTAGGAACTAGTGACATGACGGTTGATTCGGAGTGCCCTGATAGGAATCCCAAAGTTAACTTGTAATAAGGCAAGTTCTTGCGTAACTCTCTCACAACTCACTTCGTTGTTTCGTCAGGATATTTTGCTAGAACGTAAGTAACACAATTGTATGACGGTTCGCTCTATTCATCCAGGATGCTAGTACTGAAGCCCAGCAACATCACAACAGATGTATGAGGAGAGCAAGTCTCGAATACAGCCCTCCAATACACACAATACACAAGAAAGTACAAAATCATTGAACGGAAGTCGAACCTGCCACCTCCCACTTCCGGGTAAGGAGTGAGCTACGAAGAACATAGTATATGTGCAACCCAGATCCACATTGATTCGCCATATCTCTACCGTACAATTGAGAAAATTCTATTGTGTAACTGACGACGTGAGCACTGTTCAAACAAACACAAGTTACGACAGGTTTTGGCAGTATCTGTCCACATCACTGATATGTCCCCTGACGTCCGTCACTCAAATCTATTGATGTTCCCATTCGCCTCCTTCCCCAGAATGAAACACGTGAAATCTTGGTTAAGTCACAATCAGTTTCTGTTGAATAACGCAGTAACCATCGCGACAAGCGTTCCATTTGTAATCTGTCCGCAATGGGTGCAGGAAGTGCCGGCTGAAAAGACACGTGTCATCCACGACCGCTGACCACAGCGCTGCCCTGATCGATATGGATTCAAGAGGTGTGAATAACTGTTGAGCTGTGCAACACAACGTCGCTCGGATCAGTCAGCATAGTAACCCGGAGGCGTGTTTTACAGGATGGGCTCAAAATGAGCTCATTTCTCTCTTGATCAAATGAAAACTGCCAACATCGGAACCATAATTCGCGTCGACGAACAGTGCGTAAACGAGCGACACCCAAGAAATCTGGCTATATTACATATTGTATCCGCGAAATTCCGGTGGTCGACCAGAACTCCACAAATGCTGATCTTCGTTCATCGCGCGGCACCTGCGATGCGTGGAAAACTTTGTTTTCCGAAGGTCTGACGACAAAATACCGATTTCCGTCCATCCACGGCACCTGCGATGCGTGGAAAACTTCGTTTTCCGAAGGTCTGACGGCATCCGCAACCGCTTTCTGCAATTTTGTTTTGTTAGACATCAGCTCAAAAACAAACAAAAAATGGTATTCTCGAACAGTGGCCGATAAACGCACACAAGTACACACAAGAATTAACTGATAACTGTGGTTTCAGACATCCTGAGATGTACTCGTGATAAGTCACTGTTCCTCCGGTTACCGTATCAGCTTTATGCATTCAGGCACACCTACACGCATTTGAGCAAAACATGTGAGACCGGTCACGTCACCTGGTTGGAATCGCGTGAGCTAGTGGGACGGAACACGTGTACGTGGGGCATGTGATATTGTGTAAACTATTCACACTAGTTGACTAAAAATACCAAGTTTCCGTGTTGCGCTTCGGTTGAAAGCTCGTTACAGATGACTGAAATCCAAGGCCAGCTTGTTTCACATGTAAAGTAAAGCACCGTAATGAAGGTTATATTTGAGAATAGCATACGGTGCAAATTTTCTTGACGAAACATTCTACTCATAAGGTTGCTGAAAGCCTTTCAACAGAGCACTCATTTTCAGCCCACTTTGACCCCACCAGGACCCCCACCGTCAACTCTACGTTTTATTTGAACATCATATTGTTTGGCCACTTGCATGCCAATTGGTGTTCAGTTAAAACACAAATTTAACGGAAACTCGAATTCCACACCTGCCTGGTGAGTGTCAAAACGGGTGGGAGTTGGCTACCGAAAAGTTTTCAGCAACCTTGTGAGTAGTATGTTCTGTCTAGCCGATCACTTACCTTACGACGCGCTCCTATTGCGTACAAGTCCAGTTGACACAGTGAACAAAGTTACATCTGTCTAGCGAGTGAAAATAAAACAACCGGAATCGAGCTAATCGGTATACATATGTGTCAGCGATGTCAGGAACAGAGGAAATGATCGATTTTTTGATGTGAAGAACATCTATATCTCAGACAAGGTAGGTGTTCCTTGGTTTGTTCGGTGTGCACGCGAGCATCTGAGCGATGGTCTTCATACAACAGCGTCAGCAACACATGAGCCACCATGATATTCCTCATTAAAAATCGCTTACCATAAAAAGTTCTGACTCACGATTTAATGCCAGGATGGCCAGGATTTTGGCCAATTTTAACAGATGCTTCTGTTGATAATGTACTTGATGCACAGGTGACCAATAGGGTGGATCCTGAGAATTCAAAAGAGCAAATTCCGAGCTGCTGGTTGCATTCGTCTTGTGCACGGACGCACTAAACGTAAGTAAATCAGCACACCAAAGTTGCGTGGTTCAAAACAGTCAACTGCTCTCATGTAGCCGGGCGATGAATTCTGTTAGGGAATGGTTGACTTGTACTCTGGATCATCACACACGTTATTAAAAGGAAGTAACTCCCACTTCACTCCCGATCTGTTCTAGTTGGACCATAATCTGTCTAGTTGTCCAAGTAGATGATGATTGAATCTGAGTATTCAAACACCACACTGAAGTTGAGTATTTTGCAAGATTTTTCGTTTCACGAGCCTCCTTGCCCTCAGTTTTTTTGGCAACTGCGAGATGGTTCAGTAGTTAGGGCGCGAATTTACTGACCGGAGGGTCCGTGGTTTGAACCCGACCTCTGCCTCTCGACTTCCCCTGTCCGGGCTTGGGCAACCTGACAGTGTTTCAGCCCTCTTGCTTCCTTTGGGTGACATGACAGCTGGGCACGGAAAAGGTCCTACAGATGAACGCTTATCTAATATCTATTATCATCACCAGCGTTCTTGTTTTATGTGAGGAGAAGGAGTAGATCCCTTGATACACCGATTTCAAGTAACACAGATCCAGTTCTACACCGTTGGCAACAATTGCTCAGAAGGGGTACGGATGAAAGCAGTTGATACAACACGTGGATAGATGATGTGACGAAAACTAAAAATGATCGATATACACACGCGCACCGATCAAAACAATAGCGCCACTTTGGTCATATTCTGATTAATTTTCCATTATCAATAAGGCCCATATTGAGAAGAGGCTACCTGTTAGATCCTGTCTGACTTTCATATGCCGTACACCAATGAAAATTTTGTTCTGGAAGTAAAGACACATTCAGGGTTCTATTGAACATGTCAAGTTTCCTGATTTCACCAGCAAATCAGGTTCTGTTGGGACATCTAGCCCAACATTCGAATCAAATTATGGATGAGACAGTCAATGATAACTACTTTACATGATTATCCCACTAAGGGGAAGAGGCTCCCACCTAAGTATGTTTTCCCGAAGGAACTGACTATAAAGCGAATGACCGGTACACTTACGTACGATGCCCCCACCGAACAGAAAACACCTAGGCAGAATGAGGATTTTTGGCCTCTTTCTGGTGGTCTCTCCTTAAAGTAAGTAGATGACAAGCTTTGTTTATGTCAAGTACAGCCCACGGAGTCACTATAGGGACAGCGATTTTATTGATGCTCCTCTGTTATCACTCCTATGACGTTGAAGTCGGAAATGTTTTGTTGTACGTATTTAGGCACCTTGTACGGCCATATCGAGAATACCCAGTCTATTAAGATCCTACCAGCACTCAGTTACACGTCATCTCGGTAATTCTAACACAAACCCGCGGTATTTTTGACTTGGATTCAGATCCAGAAGTGCGACAAGACTTAGGCTATTTGTTCTCGAATGGAATAGTTATGAAATGGCCTAGAAATAGACGTGGTAATACGCAAGCCCTTTTTTCATCAAACGGATCGAAGTCGCTGTATTGATTTTTTTATTGATTTTTTTCAAAATGGATGCAACTGAGTCGTCTTGACACCCACAAGCGGGTCACAAGCGATAAATTAGCTTCCTGATAAAGCCAAGGCCTCAGTTTAAAATTCACCCCTCAGGCCAAAAAATAGTTTTTTTTTCAACTCGAACTATCGATCCACTCTGTCAGGATAAGTTTCAGTACCCTGGATTTCCAATAAACGCCTCGACAACTACCCTTCAACCAAAGCCCCGGGGAAACCGTAGGGTGACTGTTCTTACAGTTCTGCAGGACTGTGCACAGTTCCTGAAGGCAACAAGATATCTGAGCAAGCCAAATTGATTCTGAGGGTGCCTGGAGAGTGTAAATTTGTTAGTTGCGTATTTTGTCAAACTCCTTCGAATACTAGGGTTAGTGACTTTCTTTCATGATTCGGTGTGACAACTGGTGGTAGGTTTCTGAGATTTGCATGCAACCTGATGAGACCCTTGGGAGAAGAATGGTAACCTACAGAAACAAAATCGTTTTTAGACCATTCTAAATGTCACTACAAAAATAGAGCCTTCTACGTTGTTTCAGTTCAAATTTTTCCAAAAGAAGAATGAGTTAGAAAAAGCACTAGGCAAATCTGTCTCCACCAAATGGCTACAGGATTCCATTGGGTGATCAATTGAGGCAGGGGAAGCACATACGTGACCTTCAGCTTCGATCTGGCAGTCTGGTGGTATGAATGCATTGGCTGTTACACTCGGCACATCGGGACATGTACAGTAGACGGCGTTATAACCAAATGAAACTGTCTATTAGTAGACAGTTCTACAATCTGTGTCCGCAAGAACATAAATCGATCGCTTCCATCAAGTAATGTTTGAAGTGTCTTCGGAGTTTGTGGGATAAATAAACGAGGTCACTGTAGCAACTGGAACACGAACTTCACAAAAAATGCTTTCCCAGTCTGTTCAACTGTCCTTATTTCGACTGAAAATGGGAAGGAGTTGGGGATGACGTTATAAATATATATCGAAATGAATAGGGTTTGGAGTTTGAACACTGGAACACAAAAGTTTATTTCTTGTCGGGTCTTAACTTCTAATCATTAGCATCTTTTCAAATCCCGGTGCACACCAGCTCTAGACTCGACGTGTTTTCCCGAAAAATCAAGTTCAACGTAAGAACATGCTCACCGATTTTGTGGCAATAAATCCAGTGGGTGAAGCGGGCGTTGTTTGAATAGTGGTCATACGTCCGCCTCACATGTCAGAAGCCTAGGGTTCAAATCCTGGAAGGGTCAAGAATAAGCATTGACCATGAATTCGATTGGGTGCTTCCGTTCTTTGGTGTAGAATGACCTGAATAAATGGATCAGGACAGCGAAGGGAATGTGAACGCAAACTTTACTAGAACCTCTGACTGGTTGATACACAACAGAGCTGGCGTGAAATTCTGTGAGTTAGGTGAGTGGCAAAAGTGCTGTGGTTTGAACTTTACAAACCGAATGGGTTTAGCTGCACACGTCAGAATATCTTCCCGAGATATTTCGAACTCCTAGAATAGGTTCACTTTTATTCGGGCCGACCACTATTGGGCCAATTGGCTGTTGAGGTCTTGGTTGAGTTACTCCACTGGTCTAGGCGACCTTCGCTGTTGCGCACGTTGCAGCATTGCTGATGGCACTGGCGCCGCCTTTTGTTAGCTCAGCTGCTCGGTCCATCGGGGCCAAGGCTGTGACTTCAGCATGGCAACTTGGGTGTTCCCACCATTATGGACTAAACCGAGTGTCCTGCAGTGTGGGAACGACGGTTGTTTGCGCACATGTGTCAAAGTGGGAAGCGCAGCCCAAACATCAGATGCTCCCAGACTAAGCGACAAGCAGCGTGGGTATCGTACTGAAGGGTTGATGCCCCCTATCCTATTCGAAGCAATTGACTGTGCAGCGTGAACTGGCGGACGATCAATAGACCGCAATTTCATCAGGCTGGTCACAAGTTCCCTGTCGGATTGTACCGGTACAGTGCAAAAACATTTCAACTACTACCATGTCTGCATAAATTGAAAGTTATTCTGTGTTTAGTCTGTCTCGTCTGCGAAACTCCGTATTCACAGAGTGTCTCGGCAGCAATATGCCGATGAGTTAAATGACCTTGAGAATACAATCAGAAGAACTTGTACAACGTGGTCGAAAAAAGCCCCCCCCCCCCCTGTAGTTATCTGATATTAGTTACTCAATGTTGAAACCACTTCCATGTGAGTTCTTACTGGCTTTTCACTGACAAGTGGTGATTGTGAGAAGTAATCATGAGTTGCTAAGTTTTCGAAAGCGGACGATCAATAGACCGCAATTTCATCAGGCTGGTCACAAGTTCCCTGTCGGATTGTACCGGTACAGTGCAAAAACATTTCAACTACTACCATGTCTGCATAAATTGAAAGTTATTCTGTGTTTAGTCTGTCTCGTCTGCGAAACTCCGTATTCACAGAGTGTCTCGGCAGCAATATGCCGATGAGTTAAATGACCTTGAGAATACAATCAGAAGAACTTGTACAACGTCGTCGAAAAAAGCCCCCCCCGATTGTAGTTATCTGATATTAGTTACTCAATGTTGAAACCACTTCCATGTGAGTTCTTACTGGCTTTTCACTGACAAGTGGTGATTGTGAGAAGTAATCATGAGTTGCTAAGTTTTCGAAAGTACCCCTTCTGGTTAAAGCAAAAACTGACCTTTTCACATAGATGTTTCATCATATTTTATAGTAAGGTTTATTTTGCCGTTCCTGATTTTGGTAACTAGGTAACGGTCGGAGAGAAGTGAGGTTAAGCTTCGGAAGTTTCAACTTCGTTATTCAATTCGACGTCATAGCTAAGATATCGACCTGGAGGGCAAATGAAGGGCAGTCAGATTTTCGAGAAATACACCCATTTACAAATTATTTTGGTTTTCACTAGAAACTCAACTGAATCTCTCGTTTATGATATTCTATAACTGAATGTGCTGCACTCAGGCCGCCTCACGATTCAGTTGGCACGATATTCAAGATATCGCAGTATATTTTCATGAAGGAAACTACACACAAGGTTGTTGAAAACCCTTCGACAGCCAGATTTGTCCTATCGCAGTATCATGAAGGAAACTACACGCAAGGTTGTTGAAAACCCTTCGACAGCCAGATTTGTCCAAACTTTTAGCGTAAATGAAGACAACACTGATCTTCGTCTCTATTTCATCTGGACAAGTAGAATGGGTGTCAGGGTTGCTCTCTCCCTTTCCGTGGAACAATTCTGAACTCGAGGAGGCGTGGGGCTGTTCCGATACACCATAAACTTCCTCCAGATTTCAACTGTTTAACATTGCACAGACTATGTCCTCGCTCTTTAAACGAGACTGTATCTTAATCAGTACACGCATCCAGAAAGTTTGCGTCTTTCTTTCTTACTCTTATATACTGCACTGTTTAGTTTCGGTCATGGTTGCTGAAATTGACCCCTACTACCACGAAAAGCCAAGGCCTTGCAGAGCTGTACTAACCTGGAGTCATTTAATTCATCACACAAAATTGTTCTCACACAATCGCAGGAAGAGTCTCGCGAAAAAAACATCGATCGGGCCCCTTGTCGAGTGTGCTGTTCAGACCCAGCTGTTTTTGCTCACTATTCTCGCACACCATCATCTGTGATTGTCCACTGGTCATTCACTTGATCGATAATCCAAGTGGTACAGCAAATTAGGTGACCGTCTCGTTGACATGCGCTTGCGTTCTAGTGCCTCAACGAAGTCTGCATAGTACATCGAAAAAAGCAGTCTACTTGGGTTGAAAACCGTTCAACCAAATAGGAGGGAGCGTTTAATCCCTCGAACAGTAAACCGATCAACAGCATTCTAACGCCATCATACACAGTTCTTTGCTGTTTTACGCAACATGCCTTACAAGCAGGACATCTTGTGTCATTCTGTTTTTTTTTTCAATAACTAGATGATTTCATT